AACATGCCATGCATGAATAGTAATAATTCTGAGTTATTTTTAAGTAAATTGATACAAGAATTTAACTTAGATTCAATTAACATTTTACATATATTACATCAAGCAGAAAAATTATTTTTAAAAGTATTGGATGTAGAAGATAGTATAGATATTCTTATTGATAAATTAATTGTACTTTTAATCAAAACACATGATGAGGGAAATGATTTTAATGAAACAAAACATTTCATCAATCAATGTATATTTCATTCAAACAAAAATTCAAATGATATTTTTGAATGGCTTAAAGAAAATCAAGTAGAACCAAAACATGTCTTTCTCTTGGGATTTTTCTATTTTAATAATATCAATTTTGAAAAAAATGAATATGAAGCATTTCAACTGTTTTTATATGCATCAACAAATGATTATAGTATTGCACAAGTTTATCTTGCAAAATGTTATGAGAATGGATGTGGAATTGAAATAAATTATGATTTAGCATTTCATTGGATACAAAAAGCTGTAAGAAATAAAAATATCTTTGGAAAACTTAATCTTGGTATTTATTATGAAAAAAGTATAGGAACTGAAAAAGATTTGAATATAGCTTTTTATTTATATCAAGAAGTTGCAAATAATAAAAATTTAAGTGGATTATTTAATCTGGGTAGATGTTATGAATTGGGTAAAGGAATAGAAAAAAATGAAATTAAAGCATTTCAAATATATAATATGTTATCTGAAAATGATAATATATATGGAAAATTTAGACTTGGAATTTGTTACTATTTAGCAATTGGAACCGAAATTAATAAAGGAAAAGCATTTAATATATGTAAAGATTTAGCTGAAAAGGAGTATAATTATGCGCAATCTTTTTTGGGCTATTTATATGAAAATGGTGAAGGAACAAAAAGAGATATAAAAAAATCAATCTATTGGTATCAAAAAGCAGCTGAAAATGGACAAAGTTCTGCACAATTTAATCTTGCAAATTTATATTATAATGGTGAAGGAATTGAAAAGAATTTAGAAAAAGCATTTTATTGGTATCAAAAAGCTGCTGAAAATAAACAAATAAATGCACAGTATAATCTTGCAAATTCATATTATAATGGTGAAGGAACAGAAAAGAATTTAGAAAAGTCATTTAATTGGTATCAAAAAGCTGCTGAAAATGGACAAAGTTCTGCACAATTTAATCTTGCTTTTTCCTATGAAAATGGCAAGGGAACAGAAAAGAATTTAGAAAAGGCATTTTATTGGTATCAAAAAGCTGCTAAAAATGGACAAATAAATGCAAAATTAAATCTTGCAAATTTATATTATTATGGTGAAGGATCAAAAAAAAATTTAGAAAAAGCATTTTATTGGTATCAAAAAGCTGCTGAAAATGGACAGATAAATGCACAGTATAATCTTGCATTATCATATGAAAATGGTGAAGGAACAGAAAAGAATTTAAAAAAGGCATTTTCTTGGTATAAAAAAGCAGCTGAAAATGGACAATATTCTGCACAATTTAATCTTGCAAATTTTTATTATAAAGGTGAAGAAACAGAAAAAAATTTAGAAAAGGCATTTTATTGGTATCAAAAGGCTGCTGAAAATGATAATAAAAATGCACAAAATAGTCTTGCTATTTTATATGAAAATGGAAAAGGAATTGAAAAGAATTTAGAAAAGTCATTTTATTGGTATCAAAAAGCTACTGAAAATAATAATGCAGATGCACAATTTAATCTTGCAAATTTATATTATAAAGGTGAAGCAACAGAAAAGAATTTAGAAAAGGCATTTTATTGGTATCAAAAATCTGCTGAAAATGGACAAATAAATGCACAGTATAATCTTGCATTATCATATGAAAATGGTGAAGGAACAGAAAAGAATTTAGAAAAGTCATTTTATTGGTATCAAAAAGCAGCTGAAAATGATAATATAAATGCACAAAATAGTCTTGCAGTTTTATATGAGAATGGTAAAGGAATTGAAAAGAATTTAGAAAAAGCATTTTATTGGTATCAAAAAGCAGCTAAAAATGGATACATTTATGCACAAAATTATTTTATTAATTTATATGAAAATAATTTAGAATCAAAAAAATATTTAGAAATAACTTTTCATTGGTATCAAAAAGCAGCAGAGAATGGATATATTAAAGCACAAAACAACTTGGCAGCATTATTTGAAAAAGGTGAAAATATTGAAAAAAATTTAAAAAAGGCATTTTATTGGTATCAAAAAGCAGCAGAAAATGATTATGAAATAGCTATGTATAATTTAGCCATATGTTATCAAGATGGAAAAGGAACAGAAAAGGATTTAAATATGTCTTTTTATTGGTATCAAAGAGCAGCAGAAAATGGTAATGAAAAAGCAATGTATATTCTAGCTAATTTTTATATGAATGGAAATAACACTGAAAAAGATTTAGAAAAGGCATTTTATTGGTATCACAAAGCAATAGAATTTGATTATAAAATAGCATTATATGATTTGGCGAAGTGTTATAAAAATGGAATTGGAACAAAAAAAAATTTAGAAATTGCATTTTACTGGTTTAAAAAAGCAGCTGAAAAAGAAAATGTAGTTGCATTATATAATTTAGGTGAATGTTATGAATTGGGAAATGGCATAAAAAAGGATGAGTTTAAATCATTTGATTATTATCAAAAATCAGCTAAACAAGGATACTTGGATGCAAAATTTATTCTTGGATATTATTATATCAATGGTATTGGAACAGAGATTAATAAAGAAAAGGGATTAAAATTATATAATGAAGCATCTGGGAAAAATGATATTGATATACAAAGTATTTTCAAATCATATGAAAATGGTCAATTAATAAATGATATAGATAAGGTTAATTACTGGTATCATAAGATTGCCAATAATAGCAATAAAGAAGCATTATATAATTTGGGTGAATTTTATGAAATAGGAATAGGAGTTAATAAGAATTTAGTTAGAGCATTTGAATTTTACAAAAAATCAGCTAATCTAGAATGTTTAGAGGCGCAATATAAAGTTGGATATTTTTATGAACATGGAATTGTAGTTGATGCTAATAAGAAAATGGCTTTTGAATTATATAAAATAGCTGCTAAAGGAAATGATAATAATGCACAAAAAAGTCTTGCATATTTATATGAACAAGGTGTGGGAACTGAAAAAATGTAGATGTGGCATTTATTGTAGAATTCAAGATATGTACTAAATTTAATTACGTTCATCTCTGTGATAACGGAACATATTAATATTTCATATTGTGTTTAAAATCTACTTTATATTTGCCGCGGTAAAAGGCTTTATTTGTCTATCCTATAAAAAAATTTTAAGAAAAATGATCACGTGTCTGAATTTCTTCGGAATAAAAACTAGAAAACTGATCATTTATCGGGAATTTTTCAAGAATTTTTTTATAGGGCTAATATTATATGTATGACATAATTATTTGTGAAACTAATCAATTTATGACCCGTCGAGTATATATGCTAATTTTTTAAGTAGTGTCTTATTTTGTATTATAGTCATTCTTGTTTGTAATGCATCAAAACGGTTTTTTTATGATAATATATTGCTTTGTATTGATATCTTTCAAAGTATCGAAATTCCTTTTCAAGTATGAAATGCTTATATAAAGTTAAAAATAGATTTATATATTAAAACATAAAACCATTTCTCGAAACATACTATAAATTTTTCATTTTTTGATTTTCCTTATATACAAAAATTAAAATTTAATAAATTTTATATTTTATTTCTATATAAGAGTTGCATAATTAAATGTATTTATATCAAGAAGTTTAGAGTTCTTTCTCTCATTTCAGAACCTTTCTGAAGTCCCAGTTTCTTCGTCAATAATTTTTTTACAGCTTAACGTGTTTTATTAACATTGGAATGATAATAACTACAAAATATATTACTAAGATCATTTAATTACACGAAAATTTCGTTATCTTTTTTTTTTTTAAAAAAAATGTGACATTATTACGTTATTTGATAAAGGATATATATCAAAAAATGCATATTGTTTATACTTGCTTTAAAAATTAAGATGAATTACAATTTTAAATGACCTCTGCTATATTGCTATTAATAAATTTATAAAGAATAAACCGTAAAAATAAGAGTATAGGGAAAACCGGTACGATACGGTTCGGCTGATCAGTACGGTACGATTTTGCAGATCAGTACGAATTTTCAAATTATAATCGTACCATACTGATTCTATAATATTATTGGGACCAGTACGGTACGATCATATTTTGTACCGTACTGATCAGACGATTCGTATTTATTTTCCTTCTTCGATTTATTTAATTTTTATTAAGGGAATTTTTTTTTTTTTTTTTTTTTGAAAAAAAACTTTTTTTTTTATTAAGAACGCTTTGACGAATGCAACATCAATCATTATTAATATCATTGAGATCATTAACATAGGGTATATATAGAAAATCGGGGTATATAGAAAACCGGTACGGTCGGTTAATAGAAAGTATCGTACCGTATCGTACTGGTCCTATATATAATTTCTATTATAGGATCAGTACGGTACAGTACGGTACTTTTCCAAATTTTGATCGTACAGTACTGGTCTCAATAATATTATAGAACCAGTACGGTACGATCAAAATTTGGAGGATCGTACCGTACTGATCAGCTGAACCGTACCGTACCGGTTTTCCTTCACCCTTAAAAATAATTATGATTATAGTTATATTTTTCAGGAGTCCAAGTAGTTCTTCTGAATAAATTTCGTATAATAATGTATAATATTAGTCAATTCAAATTACAAGTCAAGAGAGAGAGTTTTAACTTGAAAACAAGTATGTTCTTAAATAATTTCATAATATATTTTTTTTCATCTTATGGTATATGATGTTTATCTATAAGCCTCTAGGATCTTTAATCTCCGATACCATTTTCAGAAAATCTCAAATTTCTTTTCCAACGTAGTGTGCATGAGCAAAACTAGAATGGAAGGTTTAAAAGAAATAAAAAATTTACTAGTAACGCAAAGTGTAGCAAATTAACCCCAAATGATTAGAATGCTCAAAAGAGGATTATAATATGAGGTCAAGTATAAGGCTTTAAGCTGAAGTTAAAGAAATATTAATATCGCAATTTCTATACCAAATAATTGATTGTATCTGAAGACAATTGAATCAAAATCTTCAAAATGTATGTTTATATATAATGAATGCTCAATAAAATATAACCTATAAATTTGAAAGCCACGCAATTAAAAACTCCACTCCATGAAACTTTAAACATAAGATGTAAACAGCAAAATAAATGGACTTGAAATTTATTAGGTATTTCGCAATAACTTGCGCATGCTTTACATATCGTATATCATCCCTATGAAAAAAAGTTGTACATGTTTCGTACTGATTTCGTACAGGTGTATACTGAAATCATGCAGTTTCTGTGTAGTTTCAATTTTCCATACAAAAATAATTGTAAAGAAATTTTACGTAGAGAAATCGTACAGAAAAAAAATTTGAAATTTGAAATATATAAAAATTGTATTGAAAAATTAAAACATACAGATTAGTATTTTATCGACAAATTTAATATTACTAAAAGTGGGTAAATTAAATTAATTAATTTTTTACAAAAATTGCAAATAATAACAAACTGAGCTTTAAAACCTTTCTTGGCGTTAAAAGTAAACTTTAAGAGTAGACAAAAATACTATCTATGATAATAAATTTAAGCTAGGAAATAATCATACAAAAATATATCGATTAGTACATTTTGTTTTTCCTAATTCAGATGTTGAAGAAAAATTTGATAAAAATTTGACCGTACAGGTACTAGGGTTATTTCATGTTTTGGCACCTGCACTATCCAAAAATGTAGTGTTTTTTTTTGGCTACACAAAAACTGTATGGGATTTTTTTCATAGGGCATGAAGAGGTTTTTACGCATGCCAAATTTTCTGTGTTTTTCATTCAGAAAGAGAACTAAAAGTCAACCTAATTAGATTCAATGGTTTGCGATTATTAGCTGAGCTATTGGAATTAAAAGTGCTAAGAAAAGCAGAATTATACAAATGTTATAAGGATGGTTAACGAACAAATACCATTTTAATCTAATTTATAATCAACCATCCATTGTAGATTAACTATTGCGAATAATATTGTTAAAATATTTTTGTAAATTTTGATGTGTTTTGTTACTTTTTTAATATGGGATGGATCATTGATAGTATATGCTTCATCTATATACTTTCACTGAAAAATATTTTTGATTCACTTCACATCACACCTCACTTGAATCTATACAATCAAAATAAAGCTAACTCATTTGTAAATTTGTGGTAGAAATTTGCAAATTCAATTATCATGTGATATACACATCTAATAGTTGGATAACTGATTTTTACTTTAACACTCAATCAATTGAATTCATATCAACCAATCGCGGAGGTTTTCAACACTAATTTGCCACTTTCCACCAAATGTATTTTATCTTATAATGTCAAATGAAGCAGCTAGTAAATTTTATTATAAATATTTTAATGCTGCAACATTAGGTGCATTTGAACTATCTTTCCAATTGAATTAATAAAATTTTCGAAGTTTAAACCATAAGAGAATAATGTATTCCATCCGTAGCTATTTTGCGATGCTTAATAATTGTTCCTTTTTTATTATAATCGTAAATAAATTAAAACCTACATTGTTTAAATTTTTAGCAACATTCATAATTTAGTTATAAAATAAAATATTTTTTTATAATTATATTTTCATTTTTAAAAATTTCATAGAAAGAAAATTAAAAAATTTGAAATAATTATCTGTCTTATATTTATTTATATAAATCCGACTATAAAAATAATTTATAATGTTTTTTTTTTATCGACGATAGATTAAGCTGGAGTTTGTGGTTGAAAATAAAATTCGATTTATTATTTTCTGGTTTCTTTCTTTAATAGGATCGCTGCGACCGAACCGACTCTAATAGTTAAAAAAAAAAAGAATATTTTGTGTTACAAAATATTTTTCTTTTTTCAAATTTCTTATGGGTCCAACATTTTAAGAAAATATTATAAATCAAATAAAGGTTCTATATTTATGTCCATTTGACGTTATTTTTATAACAAATCCAATTAATTTGAAGCTAATAATTATTTCAGAGCTGAAAAGGTCAAGAATTTGCTTTAAATGCTGGAAGCATACATGTAAATTTACGTGGAACTACAAAAAAAATTACTAATTTTTTAACGATAAGCACAAATCGTTTTACTTTTTTTTTATGCTCATTCCTTTTGTATGTATGTAGCCTATAATCATTATTAATTATATTATAAATTTGCATTATTATATTTCAAATTGTTTCTAAATAAATTAAATGAATTGTATTAGGAGAAAAATAATGAATTTTTCTTTTTTTAAAAAGGATTATTTGATCTTTTATATATGATTGTGACGTAACGTATCTTGACGTTCAAATTAGATATAACGTAACGAATTGGCGTAACTTTTAAGAAAGTAAAGGTTCGGTCTTCAGCACAATATATTACATCACAATTTTATATACGGTTCTTTCTGCCATATTATATCTGATTCCTCAAATTATTTACGAAGTTCAACAAGATCTTTATCTAGATTTTCTTTATATTCCTTTACTTCTCAAAGTGATTCGACCTTTCGACATGTTTCTCTTGAAATTTTTTGAAGCGAGTTTGTATAATTTTTATAATAAAAATTTGATTTTAAAAACAAAAATTATGGACTCTTTAGGGTTAAAAATTGAGCCGAATAGGATTCTGAAGTCTTTATTTTGTTAAAAATAATAAGCATCTACTTTTTGTAATATAAAAATGTCAATTAATAAGTTATAGTATGGTTTCAATTCAAAGAAAAATTTGCTTATTATATATAATTTTTTTTACTAGATAAAATATATTACATACATTCAATCAATTTTCATCTCGTGTAATCATTAGAAAAAAACATATGAAACAGTCAATTCCGAATATTGTGATCAAAATTTAATATTTCTAAAAAAAATATTTCAGGATAACATCTACTCATTTCATTGCATAATATGTATAAGCAAACTTGCAACTTACCGATTATAATTTAATGAAAAGAATATAAAGTAGCAATTATGAGGAAATAATATTACGTAAAGTGAGGTCATTTTTTTTCTTTACGTTTCAATTCCGATATAAGTATGTAATAAATAAATTTATTTTATTTCTTTTAAATAAAATAAAAATAAAAAAAAATAAAAAAAGATCCTCCTTTATTTGTAATCATAAGGAAACAAACAAATTTGTATTTACCGATCCAATACGGATTATATTATGACTAGGGATGGTAACTCTCAGTTATGGTCGGTTTAACGGTTGGTCAACTGTTTGTCAGAGGCCTTTGACCGACCGGTTTACCGGTTTTGACTAACCGGATTATATTATAAAGTCAATTATTAATTATTTTAATATCAAAAAGGCCTAAAGTAAAAGATCGTAAAGTTTTTACGGGTTTCGGACGAAGAATCCCAAAATATTTTAGAAAAAAACATGCAACGTGTAAAAGCATTGATTGATTATTGCGAAAAAGAAAATATTATTACAAATATGCTCCATATAAAATTTATTGTAACGGAATTTTGATAAAATCTATAAAGTGTGTAAAGATAATACAAGAAAATTTTATTGACAAGATCTATTATAATGTTCATCAGATTTTTATAAATAGAAAAATTTGCAACTATGATTATGGTGGTTATAACGGAGCTAGATTCTGATATTTAGTAGATGGTACATTTATAATTATTTGAATAATTGAAATGGTTGTTTTTAGTTAAAAAAGAACAAAAAAAAAAATTAAAATTAAAATTAACTTAAAAAATCGAAAGAAAAAAAAAAGATTTTAAATAATAAACAAAGTAAGTAGTTTATGATAAATATTATAATAAAAGTAAACGGGTAATCATAGGCGGGGTCTGGATTGAATGCTTCTAAATCAATCTTTCATTGAATGGAATTCTGGGATCATGGTAACAACAAACAATTTGAAAGCACGTCAAATGTTAACTTGCGTTTCAGTGGTTCCAGAATATTACTCCACGTCTAGACTGTATTTACTTAATTGAGTTGTATCAAATCTTACTTAGCAAATAATCCTCTTGCTAATTCTTACTTTTAAAAAAAAGTATAGATTTTGTTCAAAAATGAAGCGAGTAAAAATTTTTTAAATTTAATAAAAATCTTGAAAATATATATATAATTAATAAGGGTATTACACAAACCTGTATGGTACGGTTAGTAATGTATGTATTGTATGTATGGTATGTATGCTTTAAAATCATACGTGTATAGATCATTTGGGAGCTTTGCTATTAAAAGTGGGTTCTGAGACTATAAATTGATTTTGAGTTAAATGATGATCAAAAAATAGTTAC